CCGGGGACCCCGCTGAGGGGGCGGCGGCAACGAACGAACGGGACCGGGGGGCGCGGGGAGGCAGCGCCCGAGCTCCGCGGCCGCCCTGCCCGCCGTGTCCTGCCCACCCTGTCCACTGCATCCCTGCTCGCTGCATCCCTGCCCGGTCCATCCCTGCCCGCTGCATCCCTGCCCGGTCCATCCCTGCCTGCTACATCCCTGCTCGGTGCATCCCTGCCTGGTCCATCCCAGCTCCCTGCATCCCACCCGGTGTGTCCTGCCCAGTGAACCCGTGTTCCCCTGCCCACTGTGTCCCTGCCGGCCTTGCCCGCCGTTCCAGCCCCTCTCACCCCCTCCTCTCCCTCCCCAGTGCCCTACAAATTCTTCTCGGACCCGTCGGGGATCAACGAGAAGCGGAAGCAGCGGCGGATCCGGACGACGTTCACCAGCTCCCAGCTGAAGGAGCTGGAGAGGGTCTTCGCCGAGACGCACTACCCCGACATCTACACTCGTGAGGAGTTGGCCCTCAAAATCGACCTCACCGAAGCCCGGGTGCAGGTGAGGGGCCTGGGGATGGGGGGGTCTGTGGTCCCACCAGAGAGCCGGGGTCCAGGCGGCTGCACCCCGACTTTGGGATTCTGCTGCTCGTGTTGGGGTCGTGTTGGGGAAGCGATGGGGACTCATCACAGGGTCCCAACTTGGGGACCCACCCCCCACGAATCGAACGCATCTGTGTTTTTCTGGTGCCGGGTGCCCTGGCCGGGACTGGAGCGTTTCCACCAGGTCGGTCCCCAGCGATCTGCTGGGACGGAGGACAGGGAGCGGGGCTGGGACCTGGCTTTGTCACTGCAGCGGCAAGGGGACGGGATGCGGCATAGCCCTGCTCTGCCGGGGGGCTCAGAGGAACCCCCCCGGAGCCCAGCCCCGCTGCCGGCAGAGGTGGGGAGGTTTGGCTCATGCCACATCACTGCGCTGGCACTCCTCAGCAGTGACTTGTTACAGTCCCAAACGCATTGAGGTCGGGTGGATTTGGTAAAGGCCATGGGGGATGGAGATCGGCCCTGCGGTGATGCAGACCCCCCCTTTGTCCGTGCAGCTCCCCCCCTTTGTCCGTGCAGCTCCCCCCCTTCAATGGCACCGCGGTCCTCACAGGGCACCAGGACTCACGGCAGGGAGAGGGTCCCAGCCGGACAATGTCCCTGGGAGGGACACAGCCAGTGTGACCCCTCCAGAGAGGGGGACAATGCTGGGGGGGTGGTCAATGGGGAGGGTGACATCCCACAGCAGGAGGGGACCCATCCAGTGGCCCCCAGCCCAGCTATGGAGTGTGTGGGGGTTTGGGAGGGATGTCCCCCTCCAGCCTCAGCTCCGGCTCCCCTCTGGTTTTGCGTGAAAATGGGGTGGTTTGGGGCAGCTCCTGCCCCCCCCCCCCAGCATGGGCTCAGGCACCGTGGAGGGAGTCGCTTTGTCAGCACATAGGGGAAAAACAAGGTTCCCCCGTTTCCACGGGTGCAGGGCAGGTGCTCGGTGGGTGCTGGGGGGGGGCGGACAGGACTGCGCTGAGTTATTGGGGGCCAGGCAGGGATGAGAGGGGCCAGGTGGGACCGGCACTGCAGGCACAGCCTGAGGAATGGTGCGAGACACTCCGGGGTTGTTCTTGGGGGGCAACACCGTGTGCCCGCTGCACCCCAAGCCGTGGTAACCCACAGCTCAGTGACATGGGGACAGCTCAGGAGGGATCAACCTGGGTGTCCTCAGTGGGTCCTGCTGCACCCCAACCCTGGCCCCCCTTGGCCAGGGGTTCCCGGGCTGCCCAATGGGTCCCAGCAGTGAGATCCGTCTCCGGCAGCACCACGATCGGGGGCAGCAGTGGGAGACGCTGGCATGGCAGAGCCAGTGCCCGTGTCCCTGACACCCCAGGGAACGTCTTGGTCCCTGGGCCACCCCCCAGCATGTCCTTGCACCGAGCACTAGGGATGCTCTGTGGGTGAAGGGTCCCATGGGACCCTGCTCCCCCCGTCCCCCCAGACCATTCCGCAGTGCCATGGAGCAGCCAGGAGATACGGCCGGGCTGGCGGCTGTCGCTGACCGGAATGGCACGGCTCGGCCCCGGCAGCCGCCCCTCCGCAGCAGTGGCACAACCTGCCCTTGGCCTTCAGCATCCTGCAGGCAGGATGGATGCTGCAGTCCCTCAGTGCTGGGGGGTCCTGGTCCCTAAGGGTAGGGGACCGGGCAGTGTTTCCAGGTCCGGCCATTTCCAGGCGAGGCTGCTGACATCCCCAGCGGCTGTGGGGACAGAGCTCTGCTGTGGTTTGGAATGGGATGTGATGGACAGGGTCCTGGGGGAAAACCGCTGGCGATGAGGTGGTGGTGCCCATGGACCCCCCCCATCCTGCCAGCACCTTGTGGGACCGTGTGCTACCGAGTCCTTGCCGGGGAGGGGGGTCCCACCTTTGGGGTCACCTCCCTCCCAGGTGGGGATGGTGAGCGGGGCCGATGCTGCTGTCAGCACCGTGGGGAAGGTGCGCGCTGCAGACCCTGGGGGGGCACAGGCTGCATGGGGGGGGGCTCTGACCCCGCAAGGTGCAGGCAGGGGGGCAGCGTGGGCCCCGGCAGTGCCCCTCACTGTCTGCCCAGGAGCCCCTGCAGAGCCTCCCGGCATCGCCGGTGCTTGTGCCGCAGCACCGCAGCAGTGCCAGCGCCCAGCATCAGCGCCACAAAGCCTGTAGCTGGTTTTAGACGTATTGATCCCTCCCTGGTGCAGTGGAAAATGTTTCACCCGTGGGAATGGGGGTGTTGCAAGGGGCACCCCGGGGAGAGCACCCTGGCATGGGGGGGCTGCGGAGCCATCTGCGCCCCATGGGTTCCCCAAACCCCCACGGATGGCAGCACGGGGTCCTCCCATCCCCTCCAGGTCTGGTTCCAGAACCGCCGAGCCAAATTCCGCAAGCAGGAACGGGCGGCCAACGCCAAGGGTGCCGGTGCCACCGCCGGCACCACCGGCAAGAAGTCAGAGCCACGCTCTTCCTCAGAGGACGACGAGTCCAAGGAGTCCAACTGCAGCCCGACGCCGGACAGCACGGCATCCCTGCCCGCCGCTGGCAGCCTCGGCAGCCCCGGCAGCAGCCTGAGCCCCAGCCCCGGTGCGGGGCCACCCATGGGACCCGGCCATCCCCCCCAGCCCCTCAAGGCGCCCATCTGGCCCGGCGTGAGCACCAGCAGCGGCACCGCCAATGCCACCGACCTGCTGAAGGCCTGGCAGCCCGCCGAAGCCGTGCCGGGACCTTTCTCCGGCGTTCTCTCCTCCTTCCATCGGAAGCCCAACGCCCTCAAGACAAACCTCTTCTGATGTGCCGGTCACTGGATCCGGCTGCCCCGAAACCCCCCCAGCCCCCCACCGCCGGCCCCTGCCCACCGCGCCGATGCTCCCACTGTGGACCCAGCGATGATGCTCCGGCAAACGGCTGCCGGCAGGGAGATGGACCGGGGAACCCCCCCCAGCCCTGCCCAGCTGCCAGCACCCAAGGCTGCTCTCCGAGGGGGCCACGGGACCCCCCACCCTCTCCCGGACCCTGTGCCGACAGGACGGACCCGGAGCTGGGGGCAGCCCCTGCCGATGGCTCCCACCGGCACCACCCACCCACGGGTGCTGTGGGACCACAGGGGTGCAAATGGGGGGGTGGGGCAGCAGCCCCTGGCCCAGCCGGCATGCCTGGGCAGAGCCATCGCTTCGGCATGCTTTCGGGGGGAGTCCCGGTGCACCCCAGGGGTGGGGGCAGCTATGGGGCTCCCCACAGCACTGCTGGTGCTCCGGCATCATGGTGGTCCCCCCCATGCCACTGAGCTGGGGGCAAGGAAGAACTTTAGGGCTGGGGGTTTTGGGGGCCACGGGGTGAGCAGTGCCAGGGAATTTGGCAGCAAG